TCCATTTTACAAATGGGTAAATCAAGAGTGAAGAAACATGCCCAAGCACACATAACTAGTAAGGGATAAAGCTGAACTGAAACTGTAATATCTGAGGACCACATTTCACAGGTGACCCAGGGGGCCAACCCACCCTCGCTGGAGTCCAGGAAAACCACTGGCACCTCTCCAAAATGAACCCCTATGATAGTCAAAGACAGAAACATTCTCCCTATGCACTTTACCACATAATTTTACTTTCGTATATTTAATAAAACCATGGCAGTAATCCAGTTTACATAATAGAAGTTATACATTGCCATATTTCAGTATTGTATTGCAATTGTGTTCTACAACCAACTCAAGAAATAATAAAGACAATTAACTAGGAAAACAATCTTTAAACAAGTTCAATACTCAGAGGTTCTCGCACTCGAAAAATATGAGTGAACATTAAGCGTTGCAGTGGCTTATTAAGCATCAGTCTTCAGATTTCTTAGAGCCTTTACATATTGCAACGAGAAACTGATGAGTATTACACACCTCTTGGGTATGGCATTGAAATGACTGCCATACAAGAAAGACAATAGCCTAACTACCAAAATGTTTAACATCCAGGGCCCCAAAGAGTGAAGGCTCACCCAATAAATTAATCAATTTGTGATAGATTCTGGAAGGAATGCAAAGAGCAATCAACTGATCTGAAGTATATTTTCCTTGTCCTACAGGATATTAAAAGCCGAGTTAGTATTAAACTTGAGAAGACCATCATCACTTTAAAAGTTTAAAATAGGATAAGAGAGTGTATTACTGTCCTATTGCTGCTATAACAAATCACCTCAAACTTACTGAATTCAAACAACGCAAATTTATCTTACAGTTCTGGAGGTGAGAAGTCTGAAATGGCTCTCATTGGGCTAAAATCAAGGTGTCAGCAGGGCTGTGCTCTGACTACAGGACAAGCTGTTCCCTTGCCTTTTCCAGCTTCCAGAAGCTGCCTACATTCTTTGGCTGCATTTTCAAAGCCAGCATTGTCCCGTTGATACTTTCTCACACTGTATGTCTCTAACCCTGACTGCCCTGCCTTCCTCTTTTATTTATAAGGATCCTTGTGTTTACATGTAAATATTCCAAGATAATCTCCTCATTTTAAGGTCTTTCACTTAATTACATCTTCAAAGACCCTTTGCTATGTAATATAGATACTCACAGGTTCTGAGCATTAGGATGTCTAATGTCTAATTAGAACATCTTTGGGGGCCCTCCCTACCGCAAATAGCACAGAATATACTGTCCTGCATATAGTGCACACTATATACGTGAAACTGCACATAACAGTTAGACTCCAAATGTATTCTACTAGTCCATTTGGAATTAAACTGTACCTGTAATCCAGATCCTGGAAAAGGAGCTACGAAAGACCGCAACAGGGGTAGAACTGGCAGGACTTTGCACTAAATTAGATGCAGGCTGCAGGCACAGAGAGCTGGAGTTAACCATACATGCATGGCATACTAGTTCTGAATTAATTTTGTTACTCTCCATAGTCCTATTACATATCTTTTCTTAACTATGGTGGTAACTGTGTAAAAGTTTATGACTGATGAATTTTCATAATTAGAAATCACACATAGAGGGCTTCCCTGGTGGCGCAGTGGTTGAGAGTCCGCCTGCCGATGCAGGGGACACGGATTCGTGCCCCGGTCCGGGAAGATCCCACATGCCGCAGAGTGGGTGGGCCCGTGAGCCATGGCCGCTGAGCCTGCGCGTCCGGAGCCTGTGCTCCGCAACGGGAGAGGCCACAGCAGTGAGAGGCCCACGTACCGCAAAGAAAAAAAAAAAAGAAATCACATATACAAACACCCAACACACTGCCTTGGCGTATTGTAGAAGAACAAAATAGAGTGTGAAAATTTAAATTCTAGGTTCCAGAGGCTGAATCTGCCACTTACTACCTGTGTGATCTTCGGCAAGTGACTTTCAATTTCTGTGTTCTCAGAAATTAAAAATGGGGATCATACATAGCTCTTGCCTGCAGAGTTGCTCTAAAGATATGTAAGTGCCAGAGCCATTCTGGGCCACTGTCAGCGTTCAATGAAATGTTAAGTCATTATTGGGTGAACTAAGTCAGTAGCCTTGAGCATCCAGAGAAGAGACATGCATGTAAAGTTGTCAATTCCTAGTTATCCCATAGAACTTGAAGCAGACTGACACATAAACCTGAAGAAACTTGAGAATGACGGTCACAAATAGTTAAGTTTTAGCACCACATTTTGCACAAATACCAGTTATCATAAGATGCAAAATGCCAAAGCTGCTCCAGTAATATTTTGGCAAAATACAGGCTAGAAATAGTGCAACATGGCAAAAACTTGTTTCTCCTGTGAAGGGGCTCTAATGGGAAATCAAGTTAAAATAAAACAAAACCTGCCCAAAGAGACACCGCACATGCATTATGCACTGTGTTGGCCAAAGGAATAACAGAAGACCACTTGGAGCACCAGAAATTTTGAGAGTCATTTCTTTAGAAAATCAATTAAATCTATTAGCCCCTTGACTGATTTTTAAGTAGAATACCATCTAACCTCTAACTTCAGTCTCTACTGAAGTGTACTGGTTGGCTTTTTCATACACTACATAAACGGCTTCAGCCTACACTGCTTTCCGATTCTAAGTTTCTGTTTTTCCTGCCTCATCCTTTCCAGCTAGGCCTTCAGTGGTTCCTAATGGTGTTTCTCAACTGCAGTCAGAGTCTTTCCTAGAGCTGCGGTATGTGAGCTTTAGCACAAGGATTACGTACATTCACCCATGTCTCTTTGCGCTTCCTTCTCCATATATTCTAAATGTAAGAGATGATTAGGTAACCAATTTGAAAAAGAGGAGAATTGTAGTTTTATCCAAGCTCAATACTATCTCAAAGGATCTTGGGAGAGTTTGAAATGTCACTAAACAACCACAAGCATCATATATAATTACTGCTTAATCTAAAATGACAAAAGGTTAAAAGGGCTGGCAGAAACTTCTTTCCACACTAGACAAATGGACTATAAGGAAGTTAAGACTGCAGAGAGAATGTCAGAAAAAAATAAATAAGTATGCTGTTTTTTTCACTTACGTTATTTTAAAAAATTAAAAACGGGAGTACAATTATTTCTGGTAATATCAAAAGTGTAAATTCTTACCAACTCTGAAGAACAATACCAATTAGGCTTCATGTAGCTGTGTTAAAGCAGATTAAAGGAATGGGTAAACCTGTACCCAAACAGTACTAATTCTTTGCTAGGATTTTAACTGATTATCTCACTTTTCTACCTTATTTAGTAATGGTGGTGAAGTCCTTTTAAAAAAGGTTATACATAATAAAGCTGTTTCTGTGTCTAGTAAATGAATTATGGTTACAAAGTACAATGCCAAGGTAGTTAAAAATCATTCTCTATAGGACAAATGATTTCCCTGGGCACTGTTCATGGAATCATCCATTCTGGAAAGAGCTCTTGGATGAGGCTGGGGTAAGACATTTTCTTCAGCCCCTTCTCAAACCTGCCACATTTCAGCTTTTCATTTTAATACACTGGACTTCAGTGACACTGGAGATGGGAAGACCTTCTTCATTAATAAACAACCCAAATACCTAAAGTATTTCTAAGGAAGAAGGTAGCTGTAGAGAAGAAAAAAAGTAAAAAAGGGAAAAACAGAAGTGAAAGTCCTCCTCTTGTGTTGTGAAGGTAAATACTACATTATTTACCACGAGACCAAAAAATAAGAAGTGTGCATCAAAATCACAAACAGCAAGAACCAACTGTAGAGAGGAGAGCTTTCTCTTTTGCTCTAACTCAAGCGTTCTTTGAGAATCCAATTTGGATAAAATATTGTACCAGATATTATTAATACAAGGATCAAAAGGGAATTAATATCTCCCAGTCTGTGCCCTCTAGGAGCTTATAATCTATTTCAGGAGATAAGTTCCTTATGAAATGGCTAATTAAAATGCAAAGCAAATGAGAGTTGAATTCCAACAGAAAACAGGGAAAATAAATGTATAGAATGTCTGCAAAGACTAATGTAAATTTCAATGGTCCAAAAAGATCTTATGGGAAAGGAAAAATGCAAATTTTATCTAAGTTCAATAAAGCAGTTATTTATATTCCAATCCAGTTGATTAAAACACACAAATACCCCTACCCCACCATAAAAATACGGAGAAACGTGTTTACAGACTTAAATTAGCCTAGTACTAAGAGCCTAAGGATGCACAGCAGAAGAAACTTAGAAGCAAGGATCTTTCAGGGAAAGCTGCAGTTCAATTCTGGAGAACACATTAGCCATTGATCAGAGAGCCCCAACACAGATGCAGTGAAAAACGATATATCTCAACAGCATAAGCCAGTGTATTGCATCTGAAGAGTTTAGTTTTACACCTTTTTCAGTTTAGCATCAGAAGATTAATGCCATTAAAACAAGGTAATTGCAATGGGATTATTCGCAAGTAAGTGGCAAAACATGTTCAAACTTTTTGAAATATTCAAGTCAGCGTATTTCACTGTAGCAATAAAAACAAAAACTACCACTCAAGATAGTTGCTTGCCAGCTACTTTAAGGAAAATCTTCACCACAGTTCTTCCCAAGACTTTGCTCTCCACTGTATACTCTCCTTTGAAACACATTCAAATCTCAGGCATTAAGTTGAATATTAACGGGCCAAGAATAAACTCCAGAGCCAACAATGACAATGAGAACTCCAACAGCTTCAGAGCCTGACACTAATTTACTGAGGCGTATCAGGAACTCTTGGGAATGAAGTATCTGCTAATTAGACCACCATGAACAGACTTCCAAACCTTGACAAAGTTTTTCCCAGCATCTGATGATGAACTGTGATTTATGGGCTGTCTAGGTAAAACTCGAACAGATGGTATCTTTTAACAATAATTGACACATGAGTTTGTTAAGGATCTCAATCTCTGGAAAAACATGTGGCTCTATAGAGGAAAACAAAGAAGAACATTTTTAGAGTCATCTACCTTATCTTTGTCTTCAACGACATCTGCCAAGACATCATCTGGATCCAGGATTCCTCCATCTGTGTATTCTAAGTGATGAATCTTCACCCAGTACCCAGGATCCTGGGGTAGAATAACCAAGAAGTTTCATGACTAAAACTTTTTTTTAAAATGTAAAATACATTTTAATTTTTAAAATAGACTCCTTAAAAATATGCTCTAGCAAAAAAAAAAAAAAAATATATGCTCTAGCAATAATAAAAGTTTTAAACACCTAAAACAAATGTTATCTGTTTATTAGGATAAATCTGTGGCATGTTTATCCTGTTTAACTTAAGTCAGTAAATCAATGTATACATATTTTATCAGTTTTCCTGGAAGATAAATTGCAATGGAAAAATAAATTGCCCCAGCCATTTGTAAAGCATATTCAAGGAATTTTGAATAACCTTCACTTTAGGTAATCCCAAGAATAATCTGGACAAAGAAAGATCTTCTCAAGGGTACTTTCTGAAATTGGGGATGAGAAATTCAAACAGATTCCTAAAGCTGTAGGAAAAAAATCATAAGGCAGAAATCTGTGATGGTAATAACTATCACCTCGGATATACAAACGCAATGAGAGGACCAACATCCTCTTCAACTCTTTTTATCTCTGTGCTGTGCACATATTCTCAACTCTAAGATTGGCAATGACATCTGGAGCAAGAACTCCAGCATGGATTTCCAGTCCCTGAAGCACAGCAGCAACTAGAACAATGTTCACAGTCAAACAGGGGCGGAGGGTGGTGGGCATCGCTGAACTGGGGTAGTGATTTAGGAGATTTCCAAGTATTGCTTTTTAAAAATTGCTTAGGAGTGTAAAGCTTAAGGAAAGGAATTACTTTCTCAAAATTTGATATGTAGCTAGATACTCTGCTCTGATCCAGCTCAGTTACTTATATACTGCCTATTTCTGGAAAAGATATGAAAGTGATCCATTATGACAATAAGAACATGAATCAATGAATGAAGAAAAACATTAGTACAGTTTTTACCAGAATACCCAAGCTATAATCAATTTGGTTCTGTGATGCTTAGAAAGTCCCTCAATGTGGGAAACTTTTGAGCTATGGGCACCCGGTATCCACTATAGGAATAGATACCAGTTTGCGAGAAGACATAACAGTTTTCCTGGGATAAAGCTCTAAACCTTTACTACATGAATCTTTGTAAAGGGTAAGCCCTAATATAACCCTCAGAATTCGATTGTAATTTTGGAAAAACTAATAGAAATGGTTGCTATTTAGTCTTCACTGTAGCTGTCCCCCAGTAAAAGGCAAGGACATACTATTACATAATAATTTTTTAAATTTTATTGTATTTTTTTTTTTTACAGCAGGTTCTTATCAGGTATCCATTTTATACATATTAGTGTGTATATGTCAATCCCAATCTCCCAATTCATCAATAATAATTCTTTTAAAGCAACTATTCAGAGGGCTACTGATATGCGGCTCAAGTACACAGCTTTTCAGTAATCAACTTGATAAAGTGATAGGCTTAAAACATCTGAAGGAATCCTCCTTAGGTAATCTTTCAACATTTCAAAATTAAGTTTTCTATAGAGCATCTAAAGAGCTCTAAGATTCCAAATAGAATGAAAGGAATTTATTTTGTTTCTAATACTAGGCTTATAGGTGGAAACACTAATGATTTATTAGGAAACAGCCCAATTCTATTTTGCCCACATAGAGATCACAAAGATATAAGCAGTGACTATACAACCAAGTAAGAAAAGCATCCATAGCTCTGATTCTTTAATCAAAGAGCTCTGCCAACACAAGGATAATTGTGCTATAAAAGCAATTATACTCCAATAAAGATGTTAAATAAATAAATAAATAAATAAATAAATATAGCAGTATATACATGTACCTGTAGATCCCAAACTCCCTGACTATCCCCTTCCCCCATCCTTCTCCCCTAGTAACCAGAAATTCGTTCTCTAAGTCTGTGAGTCTGTTTCTCTTTTGTAAATAAGTTCATTTGTAACATTTCTTCTTAGATTCCACATAAAAAAAAAAAAAAAAAAAAAAAGGTAAGCTAAGTACAACAGACTAGATTCTAAATAGTGAAGATACTCTGGTAGACAAAACACTGGAATATACAGAAAAGAGAGCAAAATAAAACTGCCCCCACAATCTTTGGGAATTGTTATCTTTTTTAGTCTGGCCATGCTACAAGCAATGTACTTCTCCAAATCTACGCAGGACTTCTGGCTGAAACCTATAGAATATTGCATTTTTCCTTATAAAAAATTCTTCTTACATAGTGTTCCATTTCATTAATTTCCAGAGTTGGGTTCTGATATATTATAGCTGTACAGATGAAATCTGTTGATTGTAACCATGTTTATAAAAGGTGATGTATTCTAAAGAGTGTGCTTTTTTATATTCAATCTTTTAAAATCAGACATCAAGTTGTCTGCTTTCTTCTCATACTGTTTGGAAAAGCAGATTTTATCACCTGAGACTAAGGTAAACCCCCAACGACTGCGGTATAAGGTATACCTCTCTTCCTGCCCAGAGAGATGAAAACCAAAGACTCAGATTTAAACTAGGGAAACTCAGGAAATAGCAGGGGACAGGATCTGATCAGTGGCAAAGGGGACAGCAGACAAGTTGGCAGCAAGATGGGTTGTTAAGTCACATAGCATTCCTCCCTCACACACACTTGTAGGATCTAAGACCTGGAAATCAGGCACAGGAGTTGAAACTAAGATATTTATCTCCAGTTTTGATTCAAAAGAGTACAGAACTTAAGTTTTACAAACGTATAATCAAGTGAAAAAGTAATCTGATACATTTTGGAATCGTATATTCAAATTCAATCTGAAAAAAGATTTTAAGTGAGCTACATGGTGCCAGAACATAAGACGACTCTTTGCAATTTTAACTCTGTTCTACACTGGAATGTATAAAATGGCTTTATCAAAGGAAAGAGTAGGCCAATGACGAGCACGCATCTAACACTGAACAAAAACTGACAAGCTGTGTGAATGCATCTCAGAGTTAATATTTCACACATCAAGAGAGGTATATCAACACAGTATGTACCAACTGTGATTTTGTCCCCATGGCGTTTTGGCCATGGTGCTATAGATCACTTTAATGAAGTATACACAATATTAGCAGCCAACAAGCCATCATAACACCATAAATTTACCCTGACTACTTTATGCATGTAAAAATTTCAACCATTACATCACAGTCAACATTTTGCGTTTCATTTACTTGGTTTTATTACCACCATGAATAAAACTGATCAAACATGAAAAGATGTTCACATATATGTCTTCGTTCACCCAATTAATCACTTGGAAAAGTTTACTCTATTTTTCATAATAGTGACATTTAATCTACCTTTATATTGTACAAATATCTATAATATGCATAACTTTTAAATTATTTTGAAAATAAAGTATGTGTGCTATGCAATAAATCGTATTACTTACACTCCTAGATCATTTAAGTATTGAAAAATAACAATATACATTATGTTTCCTCTACTTCTGATAGTATCTTATCCATTTTTTAAGTAATGCAGTTAACTTAAACCCTACTGGAATGTGAAAACTAAAAATAGTCTACAAGGATGAATTGGAAAATGGGAAAAAAAAAAAAAGGTATGCACTATGGAAAGAAGACAGTTACAGGGTACTTTTAATGATCAATGTAGAAATTGTTCCAAACACGTATTGATATTAACAGCAACAAATATCTTTCACTGTGGGCAGATGACATAAAATTTGACCCCATACCCTAGAAAATGTATAGTACCCAAAGTTTCAAAGAATAGTAAACTTCCATCTGCAATGCGTAGAGGAGTAGACTGGAAAGCCAGATACTACAATGTTGTGACTACCAAGCACTGAGATTATGTCAATGATCAAGAGAGGGTTTCTCAGCAAAATGCCTCTGGTACAAGAGAAAAGTAGCCTGCGTGGCAGCAAGGTCCCAAAGTGAGGAGGAGAGTGCTGTGAAGGAAAAGCCAAAAGGTGGCAAAGGGCTGTGTTTATGAGTGGGCTGTGTTTACAGTGCTCAATAATGTAACTAGGTTCTTGGTGGCTTCACGTTTTCACAAGAAATATCTCACCCACTGGAACATAAGAATAATTATAAAACAGAAGTTAATAGAAAATTAGAATTTTCCTTGTAGAATTTAACTTCATGAACTTGGTGGGATGTATCCATAAAATGAGATTTCACCATTTTCATCATCATCTTCATCATTATAGCAGATCATTTGTTTTAGTGCCTACTACAGGCCAGGTGCAATAGGTACTGCGTGTTTTATAGGGTTAACTCGTTTATCTTCCAACAGCCTCATCAAATAGTTATCAACCCATTCTACAGATGAGGAAAACAAGGCATGAGTAGGTGAACTGACTTACCGAAGGTCAAATGCTTCCTAGACAGCAGAGCCAAGGTGCATTTTTTAAACATAGAAAATCTTTTAGATTAAAGAACTTAACAAAAAGCACAATTACCCAAGAAGGGGATCAGATCCATTTCTATCTACGAAGTGTATGGATCCACGCAAGTCGTCATTACTCTGGGCCTCTGTTGCTTCATCATTAGTGAACCTGGAGGCTCTATGGCCCTCTGCATAGGGCACCACACGGAGGTCAAAGTGTAGAGGACACAAAGGGGCAATAATGGAAGGCCCCAAAGCCTTTGTGTTAGTGTGTCCAGTGTTTCACAAGTGAGAGAAGTTTCAGAGCATAACTGCTCATAATCATGAAATCAAAGGTTTGGGAAGCAGTGGGGAAAAAAAGAGTAGAAAGGGAGCTTGAGGTGTCAGGTTGGATAGAGAATTATGAAGTTTTTATGTGCATGCACATTTTAACTAACTACTTCTATCATAATCCTCTGGGGTTACTCTCCCTTCTACCCAAGACCAAAAGAGAACCAGATGCCCCAGAACGCACCCAGGAAACACAGCAGTCAGAGCAGGCCTGGAGACTATTGGGACAGGCAGAGAGCAGGAGTCTGTGAATAACCAACCACAGACAGTGTAGGGAAGAAGAGTTCCCAAAAATGATGCCTGAGCAAAACCTAGCAGAGCAGTACTGACACCTG